TGAGGTGGAAAAAGTCAAATTGGTACTTGCAACCTTCCCCTTAAATCTCAGCAGCTTTAACCCCAGGATCCCAAGATAACACCTTCTCAGTTACACAACTGCTGCTGCAGCAAACAGATCAATGCTGCTACGCTGCAGCTTGTTCCTTGATGATTGTGAGACTGGGCACAGACTCGGTAGTTGTCATTCCAGTAGAACACAGTCCAAAACCAAGCAGCTACTCTCCAAATCTCTTCCAGCTTTTGCCTCTGGGTCCCACTCCATTCCTGATACTTGGACCTGCCTTTTTGGCCTGGGTTCCTGTGCTTGAACAGACTGCTCTTTTCCCATTACCTAGAAGCACTCAAATTCCAAAATGCCTCAAGTCTCAGTTCTGCCCTTAATAGCATTTACTCACAAATCAGTAGCAAAGCCACTCTTGGATGGGAAAAAGAAGAAAGCTTTCCCTATCCAGATACCCCATAGTAAGCATCTTCCCTGCTTTCAGTGGGATTGTTTTCGCTTAAAGCCTTTGGGGAAAAGCCACGTGGCTGGTGTACAACTGAGAAATTAACTCCTCTGGACAGGGAGGCCAGCCCAGACATTCTATATTGCTGTACAAGGCATTGCACTTGGATGAAGTGAAGCAGCAAATCTAAGCCATCACACTTGTTGCCGGGTCTCTTTCACTGTTCTCTGTGAATATAGCGATAAGGATGAAGTTCTCTGTCCTAATTCATTGTTTTCACACCAGGCTGATGCTACTGCTCAGTATTTGCACAAGGCAAGACAAAGAGACTTTAAACTGGCTAGCAGCTGCACACATCTCTGGTATGAAATGGGGTATTTTTTACAACTTCCCCGAGCCCTGCACCCCGGTACTTATTTTCACTTCTGTTAGAGCAGAAGTTCCCTGGTCATTGGGCTGAAACCTCTTCTGCTAATGCAGCAGCGAGACGTTTTTTACTTCCTCAGAATAAGATCTACTTCTGAGTACAAACTATTTTCATAATTATAGTGCTGAAAAGTTTAAAAACCTTATAAAACTTGTGCCTTGAAGGGTCTTATGCAACCTTTTCTGAAATTCCAAAGTGTACGACTTTTAACCTAACTTCCATTATATTTTTTTCTCCTAGAAAAAAAAATTGACAATTGCATACTCCTTGCCTGAAAATATTGGTATTGTCTACTCAGTCCTGAGTATTTATTTTTAAAATTAAATAAATAAATAAATTACTCTGTAGTGATGCTATCTTTCCTACTGTGTGTCAGGGAATAACAGCACAGTGTTATGTCTCATTCCAGAAATTAAATTATGAACTTAAGTTTAGCACAACTGTAACTGAAATAAAACAGACTGAACTTAAAATAGTGAATTCGAAATACTGACTGGAACTGTCTGGCTACAAGCAAGACATTCAAGCAGGTTACAGAGCTCACATGCCTCTTCAGTGTGAGGAAAGTAATTTATAGGCAAGTCTTACAATATTTAAGTAACTTGGTCATTTTCCCTTTAAAAGTCCAAAGTAATAAGGTTTCACTGAGGACTTGGTCCACTCTTCAGTGGTTCTCTCTGGCTGATGGCAAGGGGGGTCACTGACAAAGACAGGTGGAAACTCGCTTGTATATTCTTAGACACCGGATTCTTGTGCTTTGGGGGACAAAGTTTGCACGATCCAAAAATTCTATTCTGTTTTCCAAGTGAGTAATTAAGGCTGTAGAGCTGTGGGGGAAGCTTTGCAAGTTCTGGCCAGAAGACATTTCTCTGCTCATCCCCTGACACATGATAAGACTTGTCAGGACACAACATGCTCTTGCAACAGCCTAATCACATGTGTGAATATTTAGAGCTTGGGCTCAGCTGGGCAAGGCCTGACAGCTTGCCTCTGAGGAAGAATGCCCCTTGCCAGATAGATTTGACTGGAATAATCACACTTCAAAGCAGTTATGACTTGATATACTGAAGTCTGAAGAGTCAAGGAATTTCTGTTAAAGAAAGATGGGCATCTAAGGAAACGCAATGCTTCCCACAGCTCCCTGATCCAAAAAGTAGGCTATGCGTCCTGCTCACTCCCCACCCCCATCAGTCTTGTTCTTGCCTCAGTAGCACTGTTGCGACCACCCAGCCATGTTAGCGAGGTCCCACGGATCCCAGGAGGCAGCTCTGCGGGGGCAAAGGGAGTTGTACTGCTACAAACCACAGAGGGCTGGATCCAGAGCAGCCCTGTGGTGAACCCAGGATGATTCAGCAGAGCTCAGTGAGATGTGGCTGGCAGCAAAGCTGGCGAGAAGGGGAGGTGTGTGGGGGGATGACCTCTCCCCCAGGCTCAATACTGTCAATACCACAAGCAAAAGCACGCTCTAAGTAACCCGTGGCAGCAAGAAGCATTTGTAATATCTATTCTGTGTAAGGGTCAGTGTTGCCTACTACTGCTTAGCTGTTCTGATGTTGGCAAAACACTCCCCACTTGGTGAGTTTCAGACTAGCAAATCAACCCAGGGGAGCTGAGTCTAGGTGGTAACTGAAGGGTAGGATGTTTGCCTCAACATACCTTTTCCTGAAAGGGAGAGGCCGTGTTAGAACCCAGTGACTTGAAAAACCCATTAGGTTAACTTCTCCACCATGTTAACTTGCTCTTAAACAGATAATGTCAGGAAATAACAAAATAACACACAGCTGCATGGGAGGTCATTTAAAAACTTCTCAATCATCAGTTTCTCTTGCATCATCAGAGATAAATCAAAATAGAAAATAAACCTGATTTGGAAGCATGCTGATTGACAACGTAATTAAATTCTGCAGTCATTTAAATTACTGATGGTTGTTGTTGCTGTCACTATTAGTTTTCCATTCACTCCCAGACTGCAATAGGCACAATTGCTACTGTACTGAAACTGCAGGAGAACTCTCACCGAGACTGCATTTCCTCCTGCTGCAGTCTTGGTTTTGTTTTTAAACAGTCTGAGCGAAGCAGT